ATGGCTTCACAGCTCACAGCAACCTCCAACTCCTGGGCTCAAGCGAGTCTCCTGCCTCCGCCTCCCAAGTATCTGGGACTACAGGTGCCCGCCACAACACCCAGCTATTTTTTGGTTGCAGCCGTCATTGTTGTTTGGCAGGTCCAGGCTGGATTCGAACTCACCACCTTAGGTGTATGTGGCTGGCACCTTAGCCACTTGAGCCACAGGCGCCGAGCCGAGGACTTTTATTTGCTTCTGAAACTACTGCAAGGAGTTGACCAACCCAGAAACTTTCAAAGTTAATTTCTTAGTCACCAGGATGAAGTATAAATCTATAGGATACATTGGAACTCCAGAATAGCATAAAGGCATGAACTTTCATGATTATGAACTTTCAGAGAAATATTTGCCCCATGCAGAGCCAGGCAACACAGTTGTTTTGTCATTTTCTCCACTGTTGTTGTCAGAGGAGAATTATTTCTACTCCACCAGCTGGAGAAGGGTATGACCTTTCAAGAAACCCAGCTTCTTGGAAGGTGAGCGTGCAAGCCTCTGAGCTTTGGTCCCTGCCCTTCAGGGCTGGTACCCGTCTTTTGTCTTCTTTTTGCCCTCTATAAAGCACAGCCTCTTGGTTATGGAGGTCACTCATGCCCCCAGGGCACAGAACCAAACAGTTTCAGTTTGCCTTTCAGCTTCAACATCAGACTTTTTTTTTTTAATTTGGAATAGTTCCAAATTTTTTTTTTTAATTTGGAACAGTTCCTCAATTTTTCACAAGCCTAGCGCGCGCGCGCGCGCTCTCTCTCTCTCTCTCCATACATATATATATATATATATATATATTTTTTTTTTTTTTTTTAAATCTGGTTATATTTTGTCAGCATTTCCTCTTATTTTATCTGGAATTTTTTCCCCAGGCAATCTAGCCTGGTGAAATTCTAGGGACAAACATCTGAACACATATATATACATATATATTAGCAATGTCAAGGATTCAGGAAATGATGGTGCTAAGAGTCCCTTGGGCTTCTCCTTGCAGTGGATGTTGGGAGTCATGACAAGCATTTAGAAAGCTTCTTCCTAGGGTATGCAGCCAAAACTGTAACCAAAGGCAGCATTATGCTCCTAGAAAACTCAAGGAAAAGTATTGCAAGGGACCATAATGACTGTTGGATCAGGTCTAAGGGAAAGGGTGGAGTGATTCAATGAGTAATCGTTAAAGTTGGAGATAAAGTTCTCCCAGAATGTAGAGGCATCAAAGGGGTTCTAGATGACAAAGATTATTTCTCATTTAGAGATGGTGGACTTCCTTGGAAAATACATGGACTGAAATAAATCACTATTAAAATGGAATCGACATGAAGCTTCACTGTAGTTCTGAAATCTTTCATCATGGAAACAATTTCCAGGTCTATGTCTCTCTTTTACAATAAGCTGAAAATATCTAAATTGTTGGGGGGAAGAAAGAATCCCATTCATAGTGTCTACAAAATTAACTGGAATAACTTCCTTCTCTCTGTGACCTCTCAGTGATATAATAAACATGCATCCCAGGCCAGGTGTTGTGGCTGACGCCTGTAATCCCAGCACTTGGGAGGCTGAGGTGGTTGGATTGCCTGAGCTCACAAGTTCAAGACCAGCTTGAGCAAGAGCAAGACCCTGTCTCAAAAAAAAATTTGGGCATTGTGGTGGGTACCTGTAGTCCCAGCTGCTTGGGAGGCTGAGGCAAGAGAATTGTGTAAGCCCAAGAGTTTGAAATTGCTGTGAGCTGTGACACTATGGCACTCTACTGCGGGCAACAAAGTGGGACTCTGTCTCCAAAAGGAAAAAAAAAATAACATGCATCCCAGTCATAGCTGATTGATCCTGGGATCAAAACACCTAACCTGTGAGCTGAGCATGGTGGCTCAGGCCTGTAATCCTAGCACTTTGGGAGGCTGAGGCAGGTAGATTGCTTGAAATCATCAGCCTAAGCAAGACGAGACCCTGTCTCTAAAAACAGGGTCATTGTGGCAGGGGCCTGTAGTCTCAGTTACTTGGGAGACAGAGGCAAGAGAATTGCTTGAACCCAAGAGTTTGAGGTTGCCGTGAGCTGTAATGCCATGGCATTCTATGGAGGGTGAAAGTGAGACTCTATGATAAACTATTTTAAATTGCACATGAACTTTATGTCCACCCTGTACATTGAAAACCAGGTTAGGGATATTAAAACATGTTATAAATGCTACAGCAATGAAACCAATGTGGTACTGGCATATGTAAACAGACATACATGAGTATCTGTGGTTACAGAACAGTGTTTTTCAACCTTTTTTATCTCATGGCACACATCAACCTTCAGTGGCACACTTAAATTATGTTAATCAAAAAAAAGTATGGGCAGCACCTGTGGCTCAGTGAGTAGGGTGCTCGCCTCATATACTGAAGGTGGTGGGTTTGAATCCAGTCCAGGCCAAACTGCAACAACAAAAAAATAGCCATTATATATTCTTCTGGCTTGGCGCCTATAGCACAGTGGTTATGGCACTGGCCACATACACCCAGGCTGGCAGGTTCAAACCCAGCCTGGGCAAGCTAAACAACAACAACTGCAACAAAAAAATAGTCAGGCGTTGTGGTGGGCGCCTGTAGTCCTAGCTACTCCAGAGGCTGAGGCAAGAGAATTGTCCAAGCCCAAGAGCTAGAGGTTACTGTGAGCTGTGATGCCACGGTGCTCTACCAAGAGTGATAAAATGAAACTCTGTCTCTAAAAAAAAGAAAGTAAAAAAAATATATATATATACTTACTGTGCTTTGAACTTCTTTGAAAAATGATTTAATTAATAATTTTTAAAATTTTCCAGTATTAGGCAAATCTTCAAACATATAATACAGTTGAAAGAATTATACAGTGATCACCCACCACATGCATTTTATAATTTGTTCCTTCTTCACATGTAGGGAATTTGTTCATAGGGAGGCCATAAGTTTTGTGCTCCTCATCACAATAATCCCAGTTTCCTATTGGATGCATTATAAACAGAAGAATTTAAAGATTTAAAAAAATTTTCCCAGCACACCTCTTGAAAATCACTAGTATAGAAGGTCAAAAAATAGTTCCAAATGTATACAATTGAGAAAGAAGGAATTGAAGAAAGAAATAAATCTTATACTTCTTAGTGATCCCAGGAAAGCAGTAGACACCTGCAGAAGACTCCTCCTCTAAAGAACAAACTTTACACTGAGCTGAAATAACATTGAAAATCAAAAAAAGACTAATAACAACATCTTGGTTTCTAATATCTGTAACCATAACTATGTATGAGATTGAACTGAAAAAAAGAAAACAACATGTAAAAGAGTTTGGAAAAAAATTGTTCCCAGGCGCTCAGCATTTTATGCCTTGAGGCACCTGAGTCCTTGCCAGCAATTAATGGTTCCTTCCTCTATATAGTTGATGTGTCTGTCAGTTTTCCAGCAACACAGTGTGAAGTGGGAGATAAAGATGGTATTGTACACTGATGAGGAACAGGAGGAGAACTGGTAACCATCTGAAAAAGAATAAAGTTAGAACCATACCCCATACCTCATGCCAAAATAAATAAATCAAAGATTTAAAGGCAACAAATTAAACCACAAAATTATCCCAAAGGGAGAATTATTTTTTAGGCTCATGTGGCAAAGGCCTTTCTAATTACAATGGAAAAATCTGAAAGCTGGTAAAAGAAAATTGGTACATTTTACTATAAAACTAAAATTTCAAATTGGGAATGAAAAACACAATATAAACAATGAAAAAAACAAATGAGAAATTGGGAAATTTTTTCTTGATAAGTCAGGAAGAAAAAGAAAAAGAAAAGAATAACAATCTGATATTTAACCTTTTGACTGCGAACAACATCTATACAAGATGATCGTTTGGTGTGAACAACGTGGGTGTTGTTCATTTTGCAAATAAAAACAGAAAGCTTTACAAAATCATGAAAAAGGACCAATAATTCTTACATTCTTACATTTTCATGATAATGAATTAACAGCACCGCCTGTGGTAACTGTTAGAATCTGTGCACACCTCAACTGGCAGGTTTTTTTCTCAGGGCTCTGCAGTCAAAAAGCTAAAAATGGCTGAAGCACATAAACAGCATTCACAAAACAGGAAGTACATTGAGCATGAAATGCATACAAAGATTCTCTACTTCTCTCAAAATGTGAGAAATGCAAATTAGAATATGAACACATGGAGATAACCGTTTTTCACATATTCAGTTGACAGTGATCAACATTTTCATCTATGAAATTGACAATCATCAAAGAGTTACATAACATAACTTGGGGAGGTTGTAGGAATCTGGTGACAGTTTGTGGGAATGTAAATTTCCACAGCCTCAGTGGGACAGGGGTGCACTTGGCACAGATGGATTGACCCCACTATTTCTTGTCTAGAAGCTTATCCTGCAGATAATGACTTATCCCTGTGAGAAATGATCTACTCTAGCATCTTATGTCAATGATGAAATTATATGCATTCTTATACTGAAATACTATATGCTGATAGGGAGCATTTCTAAAAATAATGTTAACAGAAAAACACAAGGTACAGAACTATGTATACATATAGTGTGTCTTTCTTTTTTATTTGAGACAAAGTCTCACTCTATCACACAGGCTAAAATTCAGTGGCATTATCTTAGGTCACTGCAACTTTACACTCCTGCGTGCAAGCCATCCTCTTGCCTCCGCCTCCCAAGTAGCTGGAACTACAGGCGCCCTGTAACACTGGCTAGTTTTTCTATTTTTTTTTAAGAGTCAGGGTCTTGCTCTTAATCAGACTGGTCTTTGAACACTTGACCTCAAGTGATCCTCCTGCCTCAGCTTCCCAGAGTTCTGGGATAACAGGGGTGAGCCACTGCACCTGGCCTGTTGTTCTCTTTTCAAAAAGAGAGAAATCTGGGCGGCACCTGTCACTCAAAGGAGTCAGGCACCGGCCCCATATGCCAGAAGTGGGCGGGTTCAAACCCAGCCCCGGTTAAAAACTGCAAAAAAAAAAAAAAAAAAAGAGAGAGAGAGAAATTAATGTGCTCATTTTCATGTTTGCAAATGAAATCTCTAGAAGGATTCACAAGAGAATAGCTGTGTCCACAGTGAGGAAACTAGTGCTGAGGGATAAGAATAGGAAGGAGACTTTCACAGTGTACTTGTCTGTGCCTTTGAATTTTGAGCCATGAGAATGTAGTTCATTTTTTAAAAAGTAACTAAAATTTAAAGAGAGACATGAACAGGAGTATTTTTCCTGGAAAAAAAAATCAGGTAAAATGGGATCAAGTTCAATGGGAAAAAGGGACATAAAAACTATGACAGCTGTGTGAGAAAGGCCAGGAAAGAAGGTCCCGAGGAGCTCAAAGGAGAAGCCCCACATGCTGAGGGGGCCTTCCGAGAAGAAGAGACTGTGCCCCACAGAGAGGCAGCACTTTCATTATCAGTCCCCAGAAAATGGGTGTGTGTCTAGATACCCACAGTTTCCAATAAAAATGTTAACATGTGATGGGGGCAGAATGCTGTTTTGAGACAGAGTCTCACTATTTCACCCTCAGTAGTGTGCTATAGTGTCACAGCTCACAGCAACCTCAAATTCTTGGGCTTAAGCGATTCTTTTGCCTCAGCCTCCCTAGTAGCCAGGACTACAGGTATCTGCCACAACACCCAGCTATTTTTTGTTGTAGTTGTCATTGTTGTTTAACTGCCTGGGCTGGGTTCGAACCCACCAGCCTGGGTGTATGTGGCCAGCACCATAACCACTGTGCTACAGGCGCCAAGCCTGAAGAATATATATATATATATTTTTTTTTTTTTTTTTGAGACAGAGCCTCAAGCTGTCCCCCTGGGTAGAGTGCTATGGCTTCACTGCTCACAGCAACCTCCAACTCCTGGGCTCAAGCGAGTCTCCTGCCTCCGCCTCCCAAGTAGCTGGGACCACAGGCGCCCGCCACAACGCCTGGCTATTTTTTGGTTGCAGCCGTCGTTGTTTGGCAGGTCCGGGCTGGGGATTCGAACCCGCCACCTTAGGTGTACGTGGCTGGCGCCTTAGCCGGTTGAGCTATAGGCGCTGAGCCGAAGAATATATTTTTAATTACATAAAACACACTACCAAATGGCTCACATCGGTTCCTACAGTTACAACCTGTGAAGCTGCTACTTTTCACAGCTTTCCTACATCCCCCAAGGCCACCTGCCTCAGTAACAGGCCTCCATTACATTCTTTACTGGGGGTGTCCCTGCTCGTGCCAGTTATATAGAGTGCAGCACATTTGGCAAGGCCCAGAACTCCCAGGATGGAGAAGAGGCAGCTTCAGGGTGTAAACATTTAAAGGTGATTGTTCATTTGTTAAAGCAAACCTTGTCTATCAGAGTGTTTACAAGTCTTCCTTTTGTCAGTTGATTGGACAGACATACCAGATTTCCTCCAAGGGACCTCTCTGCACAAGAGCAGAACAGGGAACAAAGAGCTCATTCCTAAAGGGCCCAGGGAGCTCACCAGAGAGCCCTGGGCCAGCGGCAGGGTGCCAGGTGTGTTTAGGCTCTGGGGCTCCAGAAACTACTCTGACCTCTTGAAAGAACACATTCTCTTACTAATTAGGAATCTTGAATGAAATTCAACCGGTGCAGGTGTTCAGCAATTCTGAAGATGAAATTCAAACATCAAAACTGCTGCCTTGCTGTCTCAGCGTGAAGGGGTTTGTTGGTGAAGGAGGGCCCTTCTCCTGTGCACAGATCTCCTGAAACCCATGTCTTTATCACAGACTGTCCTATTCCTGTGCTCTCTGATTTCTAACAAAAAACCCCCCCAAAAACAAAAAACCCTGGCTCCATTGAAAGTGAGGGAAAGGAGAAAATTATTTTTCATTTAATGCTTTACTTTCCTGATGATAATGGGTACCTGAAATAGATGGAAGAAAACAACTACCTATGATTCAATCATTTTGCAAATTCAGACATTTGTGCTGGGAACCAGGAGCAGTGAGCAACAAGCCAGGCATGCAAGGGTGGGGGCTCTTCTCTGGGTGAGACTCCCACAGCAGTAGGAAGAGCGTGCACACATTCTGCCAGCACAGGGTGCCCACATCCCAGCGGGGCACTGGATCCTCTCTGTCAATCCTGCTGCAGTGGTGTTCAGCTGCTTGCACATTATCTGTGCTGCTCGTGGTGTTCACAACTTCAGCTCTTTTTTCATTAAGTCTCCCTCCCACAGCTCCGACCACCAGCACTGAGAGGCTACCACACTGTACCCAGCTACCTTGCCAAGTGGGCCAGTGGCCATCCCAAAGCAGCTCTACCACATAGCCTGGGCTGCTGATGAGGCTGGGCATAAACCAAGGTGGGCCACGGTTGTTCCCCCATGGCTGTCAGCACCAGAAGCCCCTGGAACAAGGAAGCAGCTAGCTGTGGAAACTTAGCTGGAAGATTTTAATTGCATAGAGAGAACTGGGTGTCCCTGGCGAGTCCTGGGCTGAAATTGTGAAGGGAAGAAAATCTAAGTAGAAGCTGAGAACAAGAAAAGATGTAGAAATGGTGTGAGGAAGCTGGCTGGTCACCAGAACAGAATAGAGCTATCACAGAGGCTCCTACCACAGAGGCCTCTAGACCCACCTTGAATCAGAGTAACCCTCAATCCTGACTGTTCATGGCTTTTCCTATGTCCTTGTGCAGATGTTTAAAGCAATGACCCTCTCCTTCTTTTCACTAGCCATTTTTTTCTCCACACAAACATAACTATGTACTCTTTCTGGCCAGGTGTGGTGGCTCACAACTGTAATCCCAGCACTCTGGGAGGCCAAGGTGGGTGGCTTGCTTGAGCTCAGAAGTTTAAGACCACCTTAAGCAAGAGATGTTCTCTAAAAATAGAAAAGCTAGCTGGGCGTTGTGTCAGGTGCCTGTAATCCCAGCTACTCCGGAGGCTCAGTGAGGCAGGAGGATCACTTGAACCCAAGCATTCGAGGTTGCTGTGAGCAAGGACATTGCAGCACTCTGCCCAGGGTGAGAGTGAGACTTTGTCTCAAAACAAAAAATAAAACAAAAACTATATACT